CTGAAAGGGTTGCCAAGTGCTGGAACAGGCTGCCCAGGGAAATGGTTGAGTCACCATCCTTGGGGATATTAAAAAGACATGTAGATGCGGCACTTAGGGACATGGCTTAGTGGTGGCAGTGTTAATAGTTGGACTGGATTATGTTAAAGGTCTTTTCCAACCTAAATGATTCTGTGAAATAGTTGTTTGCGTGTGGCTGTGGCTTTTGTCCAGCGCGTGTCAGTTCTGGCTTGGTTATGGTGTGACCTGTGTGAGGTGTGCTGTTGGAGGACACCCACTTTATTGTTTGACAGCTTGCTCTTAAATCAAGTTTGGTCCTTAGCCTGCCTCTTGTCTTCCCCACAGCGACTCTAGAAGCACAAGCATGAGTGATGTTGGCATGTCACTGTGAGGAAGTGCTGTTCCAGGGGGGCAGTGATGGTGATGGTCTTTTGAAGGCTCAATGATTAAAAACAAAGGAGAATTCACAATGCGAAATCGAGATGCTTTGAAAGCTGCAGCAGCCTCCGAAATACATGTTCAGATACCAGAGGTCAGGTTTGTAAATGAATTTAGGTATTCACACACCTCAGTTTCTTATTTGTAAAACAGGGAAGTATCTCTAATCCCTGCAGGGGATTATATATAAGGCTGCAGGATTAATACCCTGAGTACTGAGAGATGTGGATGCCTTCTGCAAAGCTAGTGAATATTCTAAGTATCAAAAGCAGCAATACATGCATTTAGGTTTGGGGGTGGTGGGTGTCAAACACAAAAATTGTTGTCTTTCCCTTTGAATAAGAGGTGAAACAAGTTGTGGTAGTTTTGTGGCTCCTAGTTTCTTACTAGTTACTCTGATGTGCATGCAGCACAGAAAATACAGAGCAAGTATAAGACTACAGAGAACTTTTTTTCCCCTCTAGCAGTATCAATGTGTTGAGGAAAGCAAATGCTGCTCCTGAATTTCTGTATAGCTCAGAAGGAAGAAAACATTCAATAAAAACCTTCTTTTTAAAGAGTAGCTGACTAGGTTGTTTTATAGGTAGGAGCATGAGAGTTTTTTAAAAAGCTTTTATTGATTCAATTGAATTGCTGTCTGAAGGAAGCAAATTTAGACAGGACAATAAAGGAAGAAATTCAGCCCTACTGTAGGAGGATACCTTAATGAATTGCCTGTCCATCCTCTGTGTTGTGCTTGAATTTTCTCACTGAACCCCCTAATTGAAATAAAATGAGAAAGGGCATTAATTCTTTAACAGTAGCTCATGTCCTGGTGTCTGTAACTTGCCTTGCTAGAACTCCCGTCTTGTGAGTGTACCTCTTGTCTCCTCGGAACTGGGAGCTAAGAGAGTTTCAGATGCCTAAATATGCAGCTAGAACTGAAACACTTTGGTCAGCTGAGGCTACCCAGTATGAAAAATGAGCCAGTGGTTCATGGGCAGATTTCACATGAAGAGGAAGCTCTGCTGAAGCTGCTTTACGTAAGGAAAGCTGAGGACTGATGTGAAATAACATGGCAGGGAGATCTTTCTCAACTCTGTTTTTGTCAGCCGCTGTGCAGGATAAGCACGGCTAGAAGATGTGGTACTTACCTGTGGGTTACTTTCTGAACTTACTGTGTTGTGGGGAAGAGAGTAATCCCCAAAGTGTAGGGGCAAAATATAGCCCTTTTTCTGCTGTGCTGTTGTGAGTGTGAATGGCTGCCCTGCATGTGCTGTCAGGACAGGAAGAACTTGAAAGGAAATAGGTGCCTATCAGTAAGATACGTAATGGCTAAATTTTAGGCTTGTAGTTCTTTGCGTGGTCTCTAAAATTCCTGTTTGGTTGCCTAGGTGTCTTAAGAGTTGGGAAAGGGGTTTCATTTCTTCATATATATATACGTAAAGAACAATATTTAATCACCCGGTGAATGGTAAGCACTTGGGGACTAGCGAAGAGGAAACAAGAATTCCACTGGAATGGAGAAAAAGCTGATTGAATGAATTGGGAATTCAGTCGTCAAGGAGTCCTTTCAAGGAAATTCCAGAGGCCAAACCCAGTCTTGCTGGATCATAAGGAGCCAGGTCAGGCTCCTTCTTGTTTCTTCTGGCTGCAGGAATTTTCTTGGTGGCACTCTCAGCAGGAGGAATGAATCCCAGATTAAGACAGTCTCCTGGCAGATAAGAGAACAGAAATACTTTCTAATCTCTGATCTTTGAGTGCCTAAAAGCTGCAGCTCCCAGTTTGTCTGAAAGAAATGCACTGTCATATCTGAGACTTTCAGTATGTGATTTATCTCACGAGGGCCTCTTACAGGCCTTTGAAGTAGCTGGAGGAGAGGGATTTGATTGGTTTCACGTGTTCGTGCCAAATCCCATGGTAATTAGAAAAACTTGAGGTTATGAGATGTTGTGGTATACATATTATGAGACAGTAAATAATTGTCTGACAGCTGCTTTTGCCTGTGGCTTTACAACTTGGGGTTGAATTTCCTTCTGTTCCCTGGCAGATTCTGCTGACCTCTTCTTTTTCACACGCACATGCACCACCTCCTGTAATCTTCAGTAATTGTTTTTCCTGGAGGAGCGGTGCTGTGCTCTGCACCTCTGAATGACCGTGAGACTCTAACCTCCCTGCCACGTTTGTTTAAAATTCACCTGTGGGTTAGCAAGCACAGATAAATAAGCTTTCAATCAATAAGATAAAGGAAGTTCAACATTAATGAAACACAAAAATAAACTGCAAGGTTGAAAAATCAAGCCTTAAGAAATTGGGAAATGGTTGGATTTAAGTTGCCCAGATGCTTGCCAGTGTTTGATCTGAATCAGCACTGTTTTTCTCACTGTTGGGTGCGGTGGGAGGAAGTGCCCACTGATTCATATGCTTCAGTTCCTGATCAGTGTAACAGCAGGGTATGTTCAGTCCTCTCACAGAGGCTTCAGAATTCACATTTCAAGGATCGTAGGATGTGAATATCTTCTCTGAATACACAGGTGTACAGAGATGGTAACTTTTCCATGTGGATGAGCCAGGTCAGTCTGGAGTCCATGGTATTGGACTAGTTCCCAGAACTTGCTTCTAGGTTGTTGATGAGGGCATTGAGCTAGTCTGTACTCTGTTCTTGACGTATTTTGTGGCTTTTGTCCCTCACACTAAGGAAGAACTTGAACACACACAGATTTTCATGGCAGTTGTTTGGTTGAGTTTTAGTTTGTTGTTGACAAACAGTTGTAAGAATTTTCTTGAGGATGACTAAACAACCTGAATTCTAAGCATGTTCTAAGGGGGGGAAAAAACAAACCCTAAAAAAAAATCAGAAACAGGTCTTCTGTGTGGAAAATTTCACCTCCAATTGATCTGGAGCAGATCTAAGCACCTGAGAACAAGATCTCCTAGAAGAAAGCAGTGGCAGACTTGCTTGTTGATGTGACTGCCCAGTCTCTCTTCTTACCATTGTGCTGTGGGTTCCCTGCAGAGGCTGGAGCCCCTCTACGGTGTACTGGGAACCACACTGAATATGTAGCTTTGCTTCCTCTAAAGGTTGTGCAAGTCAGATAAAAAGCAGTGCTAGTTTGCATGAGTACCCTTGAGAAGATCTCCCTCCCTCCAGTATCAGGTGCATCATTTACCCACTGGTGGTGAGATGGTGAGAACGGGGTGAGGTTTTCTGAAATGTCAATTGGTGGAGGAAAAAAAAATCACTTGGTGCTTCTGTATAGAAATCTATTCTTCCAATGAAATTTGCAGTTTACTATTTTTAAGAGCACTCTCATAGATAAGAGATGTGTTTTCAAACCCCAGCAGGCTTTAACCAAGCTTAGAATTTTAGTTTGCGTTCAGGGCCAGCTGATTCACTGGCAGAAAAACACTGTGGTATTTTGCACATAAACCAATTGAGGACCAAGCCCAGAGCTGAGCAGCTGAGCATGGGAGTATTGGTACACACCTGACTGATGTTGTGGTCGAACAAATACTTTCTCAGAGGCCAGTGTTGGTTTCAGCATCTCCGCTTCATGCTATCTCTTCAATTTTGCAGCCGCAGTTGTTCCTGCAGCTGTTCCATCAACTGAGCTTAAAATGCCTTGGTAGGCTGGGGGCGAAAGGTGAGGGGTTTTTTAACCTGAGTCTGGTCTCTGGTCTGGGTCACTGCACAAGTCAACAAAATAGTTAAACCTGTCTATGGGAGACAGGACAGGATAGAAACAATTCTGGATTCACTTAAGCCCATAGTGCCAGTGGACAACTCTGGCCAGGCTGTCCATTGTGAGGTCTCAACGGGCTGGCACATCCCCGTTTGGGTTGCGGGTCTTGGGGCAGGGGTTTGTATGAGTGAGTTGGTCAGGACCACTCTGCAGCCTAGTAAAATAAAGCACTGTTTGCTGTGAAACAGGTCAGGGGGAGGTAACCCAAAATGCTGCAGTGAAGAAGCAGCACTTCCTTCGAGTGCTTCAATTTTAGTGGGATGGCAGTGAGGATAAGGAGCACGAGAACCAGTCCTGTGCAATCCCCTTAGAGTATCATCAAAGTCAAATCATAGCGCTCTGCCAGCCTCAGGGAGAACTTTTGGACTTAACAATGTAGATGGAAGAAAGAATCTTAAAACTGAGACATGGAAACCAATTCACAGAGGGTTTGAAAACCCAATTCCCAGGGTTTTTCATGCAGACATGATCTTACTGATGTCCTGACCCTGGCATACTTGTAAATATATACATAATAACATGATGCAGAACAGATAACACTGTGTGTGGCTCTCTAGTTGAATATTAAGACTGTGACTGCTCAAGAACTGGATTGAAACAGGATAGTTTAATCCTACTGGGGGCAGGGGGTTTGTTGTTTGGTGTGGTTTTGTTTTAACAGAAGCGGAGTTCAAAAGGCAGCATTTGTAAACTTGCAGTTTGCCACTTTGTTACTTCAACTTTATTATTAGAGATTGTAGAGACACCTCTGCTTTTTTTTTTTTCCCCTCCTTACAGTTCTTAAACAAATATTCTGGGTTATGCCATTAATTTTTAATTCTCTTCCGTTTCTTGTTATAGTTCTTTTGTGGTTGGTGGAAGTAAGTCTACGCTGAAGGGATGCAAGAGGAGCAACAGCCTGAGGTAGGGCTTGGAGCTGAAGATCTTTTTTCTCAGTAGAATTGCAGGGAAGGTGAAGACTCTAAATCAGCCAGGTTCTTCCACTCATCCTCAGGGAAGGTCTGCAAAGTCAGAGGGTCCAGACGACCAGTGTGAGATCCCTTTTAAAACGGGGTGAGAGGGTGGGGGCTGAGTGCTATATTTTTGCCACTTTAGGTTCTTCTTTTCAGGGTCCTTTTCACTGTAATTGCAAAAGTTAAAAAAGGTCTTTTGTATTAATTTACTTGCACATAAGGAATTGTAGAAAATAGGCCAACCTATGAGCTTAACCCTTTAGAAGGAAAAAATATTTTGGGAATAAATGACACAATTTGATTGTATACAGATGATCTCACTGCACATAAGTTAAGTACCTTGCCAAATTAAACTGAAGTGCTTTTTTCTACCCTTTCTGTTCCTTTTATTCTCCTTTCATATGCATGTGTATCAAAACCTTTTTCTGGCGTAATAGGTGAAGCTCAGGAAATGTTTTTCTTATGAGATATAAGAATGTCGGTTCCTGTGTCCTGTTAGTTAATTTAAAAAAAAAAAAATAAATAAAAAAGCAATGGCAGACTCTTAATGTAGTGCTTAGTTCTTTTTCCCACTGTTATGTTATGATGACAAAGCCAGCATAAGTGACAGGATTAATTCCATATGTTAGATGGATACATTTTTCCAAAATATTTTTGTGACTGGAGTTACATATGCAAGCAGTAGAGTCAAGCCATATGTTGTGATCAAAAGCTGAGCTGGTGTTAAATTAAATTTGTGAATGTAATTGCAATTTGCGGTGTAATTGCAGTTTGCAGTTGTAAATGAACAGACTTTTGCTTTGTAGTGAAAGGCTGATACGTTGCTGTGAATGTTTTAAACTTTGCCCTGTAAAGCTGTTGTACTTTTTGGTCTTACTAAATGAAATGTGCAATAAATTTTGCCTTACCTTCGGCGGGACCAAGGTAAGACACCCAGGATTTATTATCTGAAAACTATTGTTTGGCATACTGGAATGGAAGAGGAAATTAATTACTCTTGTTGAAAACTCTGAACAACTGGATGTGCTTTGTACAGTCCTGTTTTAAATCTTACCGAGTTAAGTACAAAGTGACTAAACCAGTCATTCTAGCTAAAAAGCTGACATCCTTCAGGAGGGCTTGGCTCCCTGCTTGCTGACTCATTGATACTGCCTCTCATTTGGAAGGTAGTTGAATGATGATGGATTCACATACTGTCTCTAACTTTTTGACTTACCTTGTTCAAGAATTCCAAATTATCCCAATAATCATCTTGATTCAACTTTGAATTAGTGTAATTGCCTAAGGATAGTTCATAGTTGAACTTTCCTTGATTCCGAAGTCTCTTTTCTGCACTAACTCTGCCTCTCTGGTTTGGATGATGTAGGCTGAATGACTGAGATTATTTGAATTTTATGCATGTGTTTTAAAACTTGCTTGTCAGTTCAAAACAAGAAAGGTTTTGTTTGCCAAAGACCTGCCTCATACACTTTTAGTGATAATATTGAAAAGTCAGTCTTTGGGAATCTTCTTGATTACCTTCAGATCCTTTAGAGAACGAAACTATGCGGATGCTTTGCATCCTTTTGGCTTTCTGATGTATGTAAAGTCAACATACACATAAACTGTGGAAGATCGGATGTGTATATCATGTAATTACCTCACACTTATTCCGACAGAATAAAATACTTGAGCAGACTCTTCTTAAATGGGCATGTGCTTTCCTGCCAGTGCTGATTAATTTTGTCAGACTCCTGACAAACTAATGCTGGCTGATAGTTGAGTCAAATACGCCATCCTATAAGTGAGAAAGGTGTTACAATAATGATGCACATTTTAGTTTCCAACAAATAAAACACTAGAAATTCGTTCTTTTTACTCTAGAATCAGATATTATTTTTTTAAACTCCATGTCAGGTATAAATATTATCCTTTAAAATAGGCATGAAATTGTTTTTACTATGTTCTGTCTCGCATTTATCCAGCTAGGAGAAATACAGTTGTAAAACCACAGACGTTTTGAACTGTTGACACTGTTTAAATTATTTACTTGCTTGAATGTTATATGTAGCTTCAAATCGAAACTCACAAGGGGAAAGATGCATTAAAACATTCATTATAATTCCCAGCCTCCTTTTGAATTTGTTTCATGCAGGCTGCTGCAGATCCAATGTCCTCCTCTGATGCACCAGAAGATGGCCCAAAGGAAACCTCAAGTGTATCACAGAATATCTGTATGTTTCTGGTTTGACTGGGGAGGGTGTATCACGTTGGAAGTGTATTAAACTAAATGTCTGTGCCTTTTCCGTACCTAATGAGGATGTGGCTGTTAGCACAGGAGGGAGATGCAAATGAGGTCATATCTGACTTAACCTGTTCATGATTTCTAGAAAAGTCCAGTTGCATAAACCAAATTTGGAAAGAGCAATGACATCGATTGTCAGTTTGCTGCTCCCATGCTTTCAGAAGGAAGTAAATGAGTTTTGATTTAATAGATATATTCAACTCTTGTTTTAAACTCGGTTGGTGCTGTCTAAGCCAGAGATGGATAAATAAGTACATGTTTGCTTTGTTCTGGCATCTAATGTTATGATGTTGGATCAGTTGTCCCACGTGGAATACTCTGCCCATGGTAATCTTTTGATATGAAGGCCAAGCCTTCGGGATGTGGGAATAGAAGTATTGCAGACAAAACTCTCCTATGAAGCCAAGAAGAGTATCAGTCCTTATCTATTAGTGGTAAGGATCAGATAATGTCAGACATTTTTTTCTCAGGAGGAGAATGCAATGGTTTCTTAAGATTTGCTTTGTGTTTATTGATATACCGTTGTGATGTTAATGTATATAATGCTTATTTTGAGCAATAGAAATATTCAAATTGTGGTTTTTGGCAAATAAAGGGCAAATTAGCGGGCCACAGCAACATTACTATAATGCTGAAGTTGCTGAATAATCCCTATCGGTGGCAGCTTTCAGAAATAACAATTATGGGAGCAAACAGAGTCTTGACTAAAATGATGGGAGAAGCATTCAGACCTAAAGCAGCAGATTAATTATTTTATGTTGCTTTTTTCTCCAGATATAGGAGTTGGTTTAATAAAAACCATAGCTGTTTCTGAGCATGTCTTCCTTGATTAAGTCCTTAAATGATAACATCTGGTACTGCACTGTTATAATAGGTTTCCTTCACATAAAATGTTATTCTGAATATATGTAAGAGGTGAAGACTTGAAAAAAATTAATAGGAATTAAATCCTTTAAGGGTCACTGAATACGTAGAAACCATTTTCAACTGGGAGAATCTGAGCTGTAAATGGCTTTAGGCTAGAAGAGTATTTGGGAGAGGTATTGTGCACACTTCCCTGTTTCTTATTCTGCCTTAGATACCTACTTTTTACCACTGCGGGAGGCAGAATATCTGCTTATGTAGATTTTGGTTGATCTATAGCTGCTTTTATGATTTTGTGACTGAGAGTGCTACAAATGCAACAGCCCTACCTCTTTTCCTTCCTTTTACAGTCATGTTTTCCTCACCCCCTCCTTAGCATCACCATCTGTTCTGGCAGCAACATGGTCTTAGATCAGACCGTACTGATTGCAACACACCGCGTTCCTGGGTATTGACCATGAAGTAGCAGGCTGCTAAAATGCTAACTAAGAAGGATGTTGAAAAGTGGCTTTTCTTTTGGGTTTTTTGACATAAAATCTTGCAAGATAAATATTCATGGGACAGGTCTGAGGCCAGAGCTACATACTTAAACCAGATTCGTGAAGTGAATGAATGTATGGTAGGAGGTTGTAATTTATCTGCATCTTTGACATCCTGCCTGCAGACTGTTCACTAACCCTTTTTTTTGTGGGATTATGATCCTGTTCCAGGCTTCTGGGCCACTTGAGACCTCTGCTAACTTGTGCAGCAGCTTGCCAGAGAAAGAGAGTTGGTTGGAAACAAAACTCTGCTTTCCTACTTAAAGCTTTGTGTTTGGTTGGTTTTTTTGAGATGCATTACAGCTTAAAGATGACTCATTCAAAGTTACTATATTTCCCATTGATGTAAAACTGAAACTCTCTATATCAGTTAATGAGGTTTTCTGGCATTTAACAAGCAACTGTGGTGGAACTGATAGATCTTCCTATTTTCCATGGCAAGCTTGACATAAACGGGCTGAACTCATGTTGTACCATTTTGGTCTTAAATAGTTTGTTGTTGAAGCTATGGAAGAATGGTTGGTTTCCTGAATACTACTTAAGGTTTAATTTTCAATTGTATGCTGATCCCTGGTGTGTTAATCCTAGAAAAGGCTAAGATTGGTACTATAGGTATCCTGTATGTGCCAATATGTGCAGGTGACGTTAGCATGTACTCATACCAGTGTACATGGGTTGCTATCGTTTATACAGATAAAATCCCAAAAGGCAAAGCTTTTGTTCTAGAAGTTAAAAAAATGCTCTTTTTTTTTTTCAATTTAGTGTATACTTTTTCTAAGTATTCTTTGCTTCTCTATTCACCTCACCTGCCACACAGCTTCTGTCTTTCCCTTACTGAACTGCGTGGGCAACCTGTCCCAGTGTCCACAGGGTAGGAAACCTGGACTGAGACCCATGCTTGGAGGCAGCCTCTCCAGTGGTGGCACTCAATGATGTAGCCTCAGAATTGAATGTAAGATTACAGTGGTAAATCAATGGCCTTTTAGCTCTGCTCTGCTGTTTAGTGGTGACTTTTTTATTTTCTATTTTCACTTGCCTGCACTTTATAGTCATGTGTGCTTTTCTGGTTTTCTTTCCCTTTATAGCTGATGCAGATGCATTTAAAATTCTCCTGGAGATGAAGATGAAGAAGAGGCAGAAAAAACCTACTTTACCAAGCACTGTGACTGAGCTTGGCACTGAGGATGGTTCAAAAGTCTATGTGGTTGGAACAGCCCATTTCAGTGACAGCAGCAAAAACGATGTAGTGAAGGTAAATACTAAGTGGGAGCCCACTCAGCAGCATGTAATGTTGTGAACTTAGCATTAAGTAGAATGAAGTCCAGCTCTGATTTGGTTCTGTGCTGTAGCCTCCAGACTCTGGTTTTTTTTTTTCTCATTGGCTGTTGGAGGGCTAACAGCGCTGTGGGATGAACTAGGAGACAGCTATATTATCTTAGTAATTTTTGGTGCAATACATTGCTCTGCCATCTCAAACATTTTTATTTGCCCACCCTTAAACAACAAACACAGATACAGTGCCAGTGTTAAAAGTAGAAGTCTCACTAGTGAAGCTCAGGGTGTCTGTCACGATACAGCATCCCATCACACCGACAGTGTGTACTGAGGTTGCTGCGTACTCACTGGGGTGGGGACGTGCTGAGAAGATGCAAAGCCTAGAACAGAAACTGCAGCTTACAACTTCTGTGTGCTGGGGGTGTATAACACTGAGCTGTAAAACCATGTCAGCCCAAACTTGGATTCCATTCTCAAGATGCAAATAGGTCTGAAGCTCTAGAAAGCTCTATTTCATACCTCATGCAAGGTTTGCAGTTTAGAGTGGCTTTATTCTCCAGGAGCTAGAGGGGGAGGAATCTCGTGCCAGAATCGTCAGCCCTGGTTCTTACAAAGCTTACTCTAACTCACTTTGCAAATGATGGCAGAGTATGGTCAAAGGAACTTTTTAAATGTGAAAATTTTAACATCGAGTTTTTCTTTTCCCCCTCCCCAGCAAAATGTGTTCTCCATCTTCCTGTCCCAAAGCATCCAGTAACTAAGGCATTTCACTGTCTTCTTCCTTAATGATTTTCTCAATACATAGCTATTTGGAGGTCTTATTTACTCTTTCACTGTTCTTCTAATTAGAAATGATAATAAAAGCACATTGCTGGAATTTGCTTTTATTAGGTCCCTTTTCTCATTAAAGCATCAATATTGCCTGTGTTTCTGTTTAATCATTCCAAAACTGGTGTAAATAAATTCATCTTTTTCAGACAATACAAGAAGTGCAGCCTGATGTAGTTGTGGTGGAACTATGCCAGTACAGAGTTTCTATGTTAAAGATGGATGAAAAGACGTTACTAAAAGAAGCCAAAGAAATAAATCTGGAAAAACTTCAACAAGCTATAAAGCAGGTATGATTCCCACAGGGAGAATGAAAGGTTTGTGCTGAGAGCAATTTGTCAAGTTACAACCAAACCCAGTGTTCCCACCAGCTGGGAACCTAGTACTGCTCATCTAGTGAGAATACCAGGACTGTGGCAAAGTTGGGTTTGGTGGGGTATTCTTTCAGCTGTGGTGTTGAGGGCTTTGGATGCACAACAGGAGTGTTTGGGCAGTTGTTAACCTCAGCAGGAATCCTCCCGGGTTTAACAGTTGCTCCCTTTGCAGGACACAAGTCTAACTTTGTGACTGTAATGCTCTGCTAATATATTTAAATATGATTACTATTCCTGCAATCTGTATCACAGCTATTTAGGGAGTACGTAATTTTTGGTATTGTTGTGATCTGTTAAGTTGCATTCCTTCGTCCTAGTGTGTTGCTCTTTCTTTTTAATTCTCATCACTTGTCTTTTGAGTAGTTTCTAATTGACAGTAGGCCTTGAGGGAGGTTTTCGAAATGTCTGGACTGAAAAATGTGGGATTCCATTCAACTTACAAGTCCTCTGGCAATTTGCTGTCTGGGATGTGTGTGCAAGCAAATGTTGTCCTGTATTTTTTCAGTTTCACCCAGTTAGCTTGTGTTTAAGTAATTTTAAGCTAGGCACAGTGAAACAGCAAAAGTTGACTTTAAAACGACAGAATAGTTTGAATAGAATGGCAGTATGTGAGCAATAGTAAGAAGGGTTTCCAGTGTCCAGTTGAATGGACAAATTCATAGATTGTTATTTTGATAGGGTGGTAATTACATATTGGGATGGTTTTACTGATGTAATTGGGGAATTTCCAGGATTGTACCCCTTGTTAGAATATAATCTTCATCCATGCAGAAGCAGTGGCTGAGGGCTACTGTACTTGTGTGTGTGTGGTGTCTTAGTGCAGGCTTTCTGACTCAGAGTTAGGCAATAATGCATCTTTCCTGTTTTCTTTATGTCCTGTCAAAGGAAAGAACATTGCAAAACACTTGCATATTGCATGAATTACTGCATCCATCTGTTTATTTTAGGTAAGGTGGATTGTTCTGATGCATGTAGCCAAAAGAATGCATGTTCACAACAACCAGAGCAGCTGAGCTGGGGGTCTTCTGAGCTAGTAAACAGGCGTAGAAGCATTTATATTTTTTTTATATATCTAAGTTCAATGCAACAGTTTTTGCTGTGCTTCCCTCTTAAGAGGAAAAGGACAATGAAAATAAACGACCAGACTTCTTTTCTCTGTGATGTAAATTCGTGTTGGCAGCTTTGTAATTAGCACTCCTACCAGGGCTTGAAGTGATCTCCTGTGCAGACACTAGGAAACGCAGACTCGGTCGGCTCCAAAGCCAGAGAATAATACAAAGATCATTCCTGTTGTTACAACTCAATCTTATCCCTGGTGACAAAGGAGACTAATGCAAATAATAAAATTTGGACATTGTGCCTTTTAAATAATGTATTTCTCCATCTATATTCTCAACCAAAAAAGAAAACCCCAACCTTTCCCCTTTGATTCAGTAGCAGCATGGGTTTTAGAGGGAAAACCAGAAAAAACAGTCCAACTGTCTCATGCTAAATTATAGTGTCTTTGTTTTTCTCTAGGAAAAATCAAACCAGCTGCAAAGTTGCTGAGTTATGTGTCAGTTGTCCTCTCTCATTGAAATACGCATTTGGGCCCAAAAATTACACCAAAAGTTAAAACTGCTTGTAACTTTCATCCTTGAGTATCACATTAGGGAAAGAAAACCTGTGTCATCTTATAATAATTTGTATAAATCTCAAGCAGTAAAATTGTGTTCCATTACTCTCAATTGGAGTTGGAAACTGAGCAGAGCGTTAACATGAAACCATTACACACTTGCAGTGGGTCCCTGGTATTCACAGCTTATCAAGCAACTGTTGCAGGTTAAAAACGGCCCTCCTCCAGCCCCTCCTTGAATTTCAAAACCCTTACAGATGGTGCAGAGAACTGCCTGTTTGCTTGCCATTAAGCAAAGCAGCACAGTGCAGCCTGGTATCTGGCTCAGGTGCAGATTACCTGAAGACGCACAGTAGCGGTTGGCTTAAGCTGAACTGGCAAGGCAGGTTTTGTCTTATCTTCTCCTGTTTCCACTTTCCCTTCTGGGGAGAGTGTGCCAGTCTGAACAGGGCTTTGTAACTGGAATTGTGTGGCTGTAGTACGGGTGGCTGGCCCTGACCGGAGGAGGAGCTGAGAAACCTTGTTCTGGGGCAGAAGAGAAGGTGGGCTGGTGGCAGCAAAATCTTAGCTCAGCCTCACTCTTTTAACCTACTCCTTCAGGCTGAAGTTACCTGTGCAGGAATATACTGTAATGTTGGATTTTTTTAATGCTTCTTACCCGTGAAAACGCCCTTGTTTTGCACCATGTGCTACAGCCCTCCATGTTTAGGTAACCTACAGGATTGTCCTGTTAAATAAAATGGATATAATGTGAATTGGTGGATGATGGGTACGTCCATATGGAGAGGAGCAGGCTGCCTTCACTTGTGCTTTAAAGTCTAACCTCCGGTGTGCATCCAGTAGTAGGACAGCCAGTTCCAGGCTCCAGGTGGTGAGGTGGTGTTTCCATAGGGCTGCCTCCATGGGAACTAGGGTTTTTAAAAGAAGAGATCCAGACGATGAAAATACAGCTTGTTTCAGCCTGCGGTTCTGCGGATGATGCTGGATCTGTGGCTTGTTATACAGTCAGAGAGTAGCGGCAAGGCCCCCTCCTTATCTTGTGTTCCTATACGTAGTATAAGCATGGCTGTGCTGTGTCTGGTAGATTTATCTGCTCCAGAAGCCCTCTGACAGCTGCCAGTACCAGATGCCTCGGGAAAGGCATTAGAACCTGCAGTCGTACTTTACCTGAGTGTTCATTCCTCTCTTCTCCTGTCCTTTTCACTGTCTCCATGATAGTCACAGTGTCTGGTAGAGTATTAATCTTCCTCAGTCATCCCAAGCCTCATGAGTATTTAAGATATTTAATCTCTTCTCATATGCTTGGTATTTCTTTGCACATTTTCTAGTTCAAGTATCTTGTTTTCAAGACAAGTCCACCAAAGATTGTACAGCAGCACATTGATGGTTCTGTTTTGTTCCTTTCCTGGAAATCTCTCTCGCTTTTCTTGCTCTCTGACCGCTGTTGAGCATTGGGGTGATAAAATTAGTATTTCACTCTCTCTCTCTCTCCTGTGTGCTTATAGCTCTGCAGCCCTCTGCCTGCGCTGTTAAGTTTCTTTATACGTGTGCATAGCTTTGTGTTTATAGCTGTTGCATCTACCCTGGGAAACTACTGCCAGCCACTCAGAATTTAATGTTCTTTTGCTGTCAGCTTTCCTTTATCTGACATTGAGTAATCTCTAATTGATGATAACCTCTTTTACTGTTTTGCTCCCATCATTTTTTGGTACATTTTGCTCTTTATCCCTCAACACTGTGGCTGGTCAGTTGGTGCTGGTGGCTGCTACATGTGGCTGCTTGTCACCTTTTGTCTCCTTGTTGCCGAGCAAATATGGCAGGCACTGAGCTTCATGCAGGTGAAGAGCACAAATGACTCGGACATGCTTCAAAGATGCATCCCTCTGTTAGCCAGCAGGATGAATCTTTCTGTCACTGTGTAAAAATATAGCTTCAAGTGTATCAATGCTGAAGGAGAGAACAGCCAGCAAATGACCTCAGGCTGCATCATCCTAGGGTTCTTTTTTTTTTTCTTGGCATTTTTTCTGAACTTCTGGAAACCCTTGTCCCCCAGGCTTTTGAACTGGATCTTAAGGATGCTGAAAGCCCTTTTTCTCGCTGCACTCTTTTCCTTGTCTCTCCCCAGGAGGCCAGTGCTCTGTCTTTCTGCCATGCTTGCTAGTTTGTAGCATGATAAAGCAGATAATCAATTGGCTTTGAAAATAGCCCCTCTTTTTTGCCAGTTCTGGTCCTCAGTGACTCCTGAGTCCACTTACCTGCAGAAGCTGCCTACAGCCTCTGGAGAGGTGACACACGCATCAGATCTGGCACAGGGTGGGTCATGTGAGCATGGCCTTTGGAGCAAGGAATGGAGACCAGGTGGTTCTTCTGGTAACTTCAGGCAGTTATATTAACTCAAGCTGTCCCACGTAACCTCATCTTCAGTTGCGTGAAGCTGGTAATACAGCAGGAAATCCCTTTGGCAAGGGAAGAGGGAGTGTCCCTTTTGGTAGCAGTATGGATTGATGCCAAACTGGAGGAGATGCGTAACCAAGGCACAGGTTAGCTTGGGGACAGGTAACACTCAGCCACTGATAAAAAAGAATAGACTTTGTGTGAGGAGGAGCCTGTAGTTTACTCGTGAGAGTGAGTCATGCTCAGGGTTGTGAGGTCTGTTCTGCTGTGCTGAGGTCATGCACAGCACTGGATTCTCTGTGTTTCTGCAGCTGTTAACTTAACCAGTGCTCAGCCTGGTGTTTCCCAGCATTGGAGGAGTGTTCATGGTTAGACCACTGGCTGTTTCCCTTTCAGTATCTCTGTAACATGGCATTCACTCTACATTCCATTGAGTGTACTCTTGTGGTCCCCTTTTTTTAACCAGACAGATCAAGAAAAATTAAACACACCGTATGAGCTATTTTACCATTCAGTTATTCAAGCAATTCCTTTGAGCGTAGCAAATATATTCTCTTCTTAAGTCTGCCATATATTTTTGTTGAAAGGGGGAATATTTAAGCTGCACACTGAAGTGAAGAGTTACTTCACAATGGATAGAAACTGAATTAAAAGAGCTGTATTGATCACTGAATTGGTTCCAAAAGGTAGCTTCAGTGCTGCTTCTTCGCTAAGATAATTAATGTCATTTTCATGATTGAACAATGCATTGTGGATTTCTCTGAAGAACACAGTTTATTGATTTTTCTAGGGTTTTTCCAATGTTTTTCTCCCTTTTCTGCCAGAATGGAGTCATGTCTGGATTGATGCAAATGCTGCTTCTGAAGGTTTCTGCTCACATCACAGAACAGCTGGGAATGGCCCCAGGAGGAGAATTCAGGGAGGCTTTCAAAGAGGTGAGAACTTGACATGTTTTTTCTGAAGTCAAATTACTGGCCTTTTACTCCCCAAGCTGGACTAAATAAAACCATTTGTAATGACTGGGAAAGAGCACTTTGGCCACACTTGTGCTGAAGCCTATGAAGTAGTAAGAATGATCTTTGGCTTCGAAGTGTACTCGAAAGTACAGAGGTTTGTAGCCCTAAGTGGCATTAAAGCAATTCCAAAAATGGCTTCACATGATAAGGGTTTTTCCTGGTGATATTTCTGATGGTTTTATTTCATTAATAATTTATGTTGTTCCTCTTAAATTGTTGTTTTCAAATTCTGGATATGGATCTTGGTCCCACCGTTGCTGGTGTCAAGATTTCAGGCTGTGAACATTAATGAGGTCTTAACACATTCATCTAGAAGGAATGTTTGGGGAAGGAAAATATCTGTTTCATCTGTTAGTCCTATCTGGTATTTTAACATTCCCTTTGGTACCACTGTCAGCTGTGATACTGGGAAGTAAATAGTAGCTGGACTTCTACTGTATATCACAGCTGCTCTTTTAGTCTGTGAATTCTGTGACACTATTTTCACTGTATGTATCTTGTTATTTTTATGTAAATTTGGTACTAATGAGGAGATCTGAGAACTTAGCTGTTAAAGAATCTGGAATATTTGATGTATTTATCATTAGAAAAGTGTTTCATAGCTTATTTTCCTGAGCATTCTAGACCAGAGTGAAACATTTCAAATGTTTCCTGTTTTAAGTGGGAAAGAAGACAATACATACATATCAGCTCTGTCCTGTACTAAAGTGGTTGTTAGAAATTTTTAAACAGGTATGCATAGGAAAGATTTTTCTAGAAATTCTATACTGTGCTAAAATCTGTCAGTCTAAGCTTCAAAGTCTCACCTCGCATTGTTGTGTGGTATCTGACATCAGTTCTTGTTTCATAAGGTTCTTGAATACATTTTACCATGGCAAACTGATAGGTTTGTGATCCTGACAAATCCTAGGTACAAGCAGAATGAGCACTGTCACTTTAGACTTTATTCAGACCCGGATAGGTGAATAAACAGGGCTCAATACCTTTCTTTTTAGGTAAAAGTAACCTAAAGAGGGTGGCATTACAACTTAATGTTTTTACTGTAATACCTACTGCATCTTGTAGCTGAGGTATTCTTTTATAAAGTAGTATTTTTTTTACATTTTTATTTACTGCAAAGCCAGAATATTTTATGATGTTGAATTATGACACTACTTGCTCTTTAAGATACCTTGTGTAACACAATAAAACAAATATTTTAATGGGGCTGGACTGTGCAGTATGAAATGTTGACTATCTTCTCTTTCAGGCCAGTAAAGTACCATTCTGTAAATTCCATCTTGGAGACCGACCCATCCCTGTTACATTTAAGAGAGCGATTGCTGCGCTTTCTTTCTGGCAAAAAGTGAAGCTTGCCTGGGGCCTTTGCTTCTTATCTGACCCAATCAGGTATGAAAACATTTTTTTTCCTTTTATTTTTATGGGGAAAGTAAAATCTTTCCCACTACTGTGTGTTGATATTGTAAATTGAAGGGAGTAGGGCTTCAGTTTGCTAATTTCCTTAAGTTTTCCAGAGGACATGGGCCTGCTGTGTTACGTTGCATCTAGATCACGGCAGCTTGAGAACCGATTCTGCTGTCTGAACAGATTTTTGGACCAAAGAAAAATGTTTAAAATCTGTGAACAACATGTGGACTCTTAATGAGAGACGTTGTTAGGAACTTTTTTGCCTTACAGTAACACTTATCAGACAGCTATTCTCTTGCTCAGCTTGGTTTCCCCTGCCCTTCAGAGACATCCTTGTGCCAAATTTGCTTCCTCTTTCCTTCTGGCCACAAGTAGGTGTGTGATTACTGGCTTGATCTGGGTGAGAACACGTGCACAGCTGTTCTCCTAAATTCAATCTGCTCCTCCCAGACTCGCAGTGGTGGGAGGCTTGCCAGAAACGGGTTCCCCATGCACGTAGTCCCTGAATCTCCATGCCTTTCTCATACCCTGTGGCCGGAGCTCTGCCCAGCTCATGAAATGAGCAGTAGCTCAGAGCTCTGGCAGTTTTTTCAGGCTTTTAGAATTGAAATGGGGCTTGAGCTCTAGTCAAGTCAATCAAACCTTCTGTTGTCAAGTTTTAGCATTTGCTTAATTGTTGTTTCCTATAAATACTTGCTGTTACATTCATCTGTAAAATGAGTTTGACACTCTTTCAATCCATTAACTCCAGTCCATGCACAAAATAAAATTTTCTTACTGGTCTCATACCAGCATGAAATTATTTGCAGGCTTTTGAGGGGCATTGGAGGATGCATTTCTCTGCAACTTCTCCTGTTCTCCTATTTGTCCTAAGGACATTTTGGTTTTCAACTGCAATATTAAGATAATTACAGTATATGCACAGTAGCTTCCTCCTGAAGTTTGGACGTAACATCCCAGTTGTTGTATAGTTGATTAATTTTTTAAAATAATGTGGGTAGAGGTTGAAAAGGAAAGGAAGCTGTTAGGGGGATATTTTGCACTTGGCCATCAACATGAGATTCTACATAAAATAGAGTAATAATTAAACATTAAATTTCTGTCAGTCTGGCACTTCTATGATCTGTTGAAAGCCAGCAATGCATTTCTTGTTTTGGTTTTCCCAGTTGACATTTGTAGTGTCCTTTTGGTCTTGGAAAGTAAAGAGACCATCTTTGGCATCATTCTTCAGTAGACAACGATGCAAAACCAGATGATTCTGTTGCCACCACAGGTGTGGGTGCAAACAGAAGGTTTAACAGCACCTCTAAAAACTATGAAAGCTCATTACGTTTCCTCCTGCAGTTTTTATTTCTTGTCCATTTCCTGCTCCTCTCTTCAGGGAATGGATTTATAACTTTGACTTTGCTGCTGGAGGTGTGTGATTGACCCTAGGAACGTGCAGAACTCTTTCCATCCTCTTAGGCTGTGCCTTACAGTGTACTTTTTTTGTTCTTTAAATATAGCCTCTGTGTGCTCAGTGATCAGATCTGCTTCCTCAGGTGTGCTCTGTGTTGCCTCTTCTAAGCTTATTATACACACTGGAAGTGGGGCACTGTGATAACTATTTCATTTGAAGCCCTGGTGCTTTTGCTCAGTTGAGTTGGCACCTTTCAAACTGGGCAGGGTGAAAATCCAGTTGCACTGCCTCCAGGCAAGTGACCTCTCTCCTTTCCCTCACTGTAGAGGCATTGTTAGGTATCCAGTTCTACAGGTTGAGGGAGATTCTTTTGCTTTTGGAGAGGAGAACTAGGGGAGGAGAAGTGAGGAGCTTGGGTTTAGGTGATTATTGTGTATAATACCCAATTGTTTTTATTCATTGGTTTGTCTGTATTGGGCTTTAAAAGCAACTCACCTTTCTTTCAGTAAAGATGATGTGGAGAAATGCAAACAGAAGGATTTACTGGAGCAGATGATGGCAGAAATGATTGGAGAATTCCCTGATCTTCATCGAACGATTGTCTCCGAGCGAGATATTTACTTGACCTACATGCTGAAGCAAGCAGCAAAGCAGATAGAACTACCTCGAGCCTCCGAAAGTAATTGTTTTAAATATATATCATAACCAGCACAGTGTTCTTTGTGTGCTAGTCCAAAGTTCAGTTCTTGTCAGGAAATCTAGGTTGTTCTGTTCATGTGTTCCACATGTCCTGTAAGATTATAGTGCTTGAAGTTAAAAAGGGATATTACTCTTCTGTTGCAACCACCTAGAGCAGTAGACTCCAAATTGTGATTCCTTTCTCATTGGGCTGTTCTAAACTGGAAAATACTAATTAGCATGACAAATTTTGAAAAAGGCAGGCATCTGGTATTACAGCACAGCATGGGACAGTCTAGGCTTATGTCATATGTCTCGCTTCTACCCTGTTATCTCACCAAATTAATTGTCATCACTAGCTGCTCAGGAGCACATTTCTTCCTAAGTTAGTTACCTCTAATTTCAGTGCTCTTCATACTTTACTTGCTCTGAATTGGGCTGCTAGGAGTCCTGATGATGTGGCAATGATGATGAGTGTGTGACTCTGCATGTTGCAACAACATATAGGCATACAGAATAGCTGCATTTCTCTAGCCTTTGGAAGGATTTTGCTACTATATGCGATCTGCATGGCCTTAGTATGTATAAGACTCCTGAGGTATGGGTTACCTCTGATTTGCTTTCTTAGGATGATGCTGTTTGTTAATGTCTTAAGTGCAGACCTCTGGTACTGTCATGTGACCTGAAAAAATAGCAAAGTGATTGTGCTTGTGTTTTTGCATCTCCCTTCCCTGATATTGCCTCAGTGCTGCCTTCACAAAGTTTGTCCAAACACACAGTATTTCCTGTTGGCTCAGTCGATGTGGCTGAAAGGGGCACAGATGTGTTCAGTTACTTGGTCCAAAGAGCAGGCTGAAAATATAGCTTTATTGTTGGTCCTTGGCTGGGTCATGAGCCCCAAGAGGAAATGCTTAGCAATTCCCCTGCTCTTCTGTTTTCCCCTTTAAATCTACCTTCTTAAAAGCTCAAGTCTCTGGATCATGGATTTAGTGAATGTCTGTGAAACTGGAGGGGATTTATGTGTTTTGAAGGACTTAAAATAGAAGACATGGTGCTCACAAGAGGCAAAAAAAAGGCAAATGATATAGTTGAGATACTTGTAAAATACAAAACCCCACAATTCAAATGAGCAGAAATACAGCGTTTTCACCATTTTCCAAATCATTTGCTATTGTAGGGCCAAAGCAAGGTGAAATTCCTGGATACTATTTGCAGGACTCAAATATACTTTTGGTCTGATCTATTCCTAAACTAGGTCTGCTTTGTTCCCAGCCTTCCTCTGACTGTTTCCCTGGGTGAACTCTTCCAAAGAACTTGCAAATGAAACTTTCACATTTAGTTTTTCAGTCTGTCTTTACTCCACACAGAATATTCTGAGAGGGATAAAGGTTTCTTTCAGGACTAAGTTTCAAGCAGGGTTTTAAACGTTACTGGGGTCATCCTTGAATCCTGCCCAGCAGCAGAGAGGAACATACAGGTGGAGGCTGGAGCAGACGTGAGGTGCTCTGCCTCTGTTGTAGTCGCAGCTCTGATTTAGAGCAACCCTAGAGCAGGGTGAGAAAAGTCAAGTCCAAAGAAACAATTTGTAAATGTGTATAATAGTTTTAATGTTTTTAATACAGGTTTGGGTTTGGGGTTTCTTTTGGGGAGGGCGAGGGGGAGAAGCTGCTTTTGAATTTTTTTAATTCATTCCTGGGGAAAAAAAAAAATCAGAGGTGGATATCTAAACTAAGACAGTAGGACTTGTTTTTATGTATGTATTTACATACAATTTTCCCCATAGAAAAGCAGCCTGATTACTATTACTTAGAAAGTTTTCTGTGAATTATTTTTGTTGTGGTGCAGTGCTATTTTTTTCACTGGGGAAGAGGCAATCCCGAAACTTTCAGGAACAACATTTTAGCTTCCACTGGGTGTTGTGGACTATGGGTGGTAGATGGGAGGTGAGGATGAGAGCTGGCTGGTGTTGCAGTGGTCTAGTGGTGGCCACCTGGCCAGCAGCTGCACACGAATGGCACGTGTTTTGCTGTGAATTGCTGAGGCCGGGTCTGTGACAGGAAGCTCTTACCAGGGGCAGGTGTGGTCTCCAGTGCTGTTCTCTGGTTGTTCATTCTGCTTGTTAGCCCAGGGCTTGTCATAGCTTGGGTGTGAGCCAGCTGCCACTCTCCAAAGCACTGGAGGAAGTTCTCTGCTCAGGAGGTGGCAAAGACCAGGGCTGTTCCTGATGAGCAGTACAGAAATGTGACCCGCGCAGGGAAGGAGAGAAAATTAATTTAGCTTGCATCTGCTGAGCCTCTCACCCTAAGACTGGAGTATGAGCCCCAGCCAGCTCTGTTTAGTGAAACAGACACAAACTGATTCAGTTTTTCCCCAGACTTTCAACATAAAAAGCAGTAGGTGAGATGATTATTAACTTCTAGTATGTAAAAGAGTTTTAGTATCTAGTAATAAGAGTCCCTACCTCTTAGAAAATTTGGTTTTGTAATCTCACTCATTACCTATATTTATAGCTTGAGATTAGTTATTTTACTGATGTATTCCTTTTTTTTTTTTCCCATCTTTCTTTCTAAGCTGAACCTAGAAGATATATCCCAGCTGTTGTAGTTGGAGTTGTTGGGATGGGTCACGTACCTGGAATTGAAAAGAACTGGAACTCTGACTTAAACATCCAGGAAATAATGAGGTAACAGTCATCCTTTCCTATGTGTTCACCTAACAGCTTCTTTTGCTAAAAGCCAGCAGCAGTTGGCTGTGTTGGATTTTTTTGGTTGGTTTTCACTGTTTGAAGAAACATCACTACTGTCATCTCTGCCCTGTCAGTTTACTGACTTGCTGTGCAGTGCATGGAGATGTGCTTACAGCAAAGGAAAAGAAAATATAAAAGGAAGAAAAGTAAATAGTTGGATATCAAAGGAAATAGAGATGAGAAAGATGCCCTTGCTTAGAAAGAAAATGTATTGATCCACATTTAAGGCTTTAAAACAAGAATTTAAATGAGGTCTGTAGAAGATGGTGAAAACAAACAGGCTTCCAGTCTATCTTAGGTAAACACAAACTTTTGGATTAAAGTCTTTTGTTGTGTCAGGGCTCTGCTGGCTCTGCCAAGTTTATGATCACAGTTGCTCAGAACCTATTTTTCACTGTATAAAAAAGTAATAATATGTTTTAATGTATATACCTAAATATGGGTGCTGATTTTAGCCATGTATTTGGAGAACTCTTGCTCCAAAGTCCCTGTTAAAACAGATGTATCGGCTTTGTGAAAGAAGGAAGAACCAAAATGTTTGTACTATGCATATCCTATAAGGCCACAAAGGTCAGGACTGTAGAAGGGATTACAGTGTGACCTGGTAATACAGGTCTGGTGTGGTTCAGGACAATAGAGCCTTTCAAATACTGGTACATTACCTTATCACATCACATCCAGTTACTGTGTTTATATAAGCACCTCACTGGCTGTTCCTGTCTCATCAGAGGCTCTGAAAAAGAGAGAAGACTATTCCCTATCTAAATGGTGTATTTAGGCATCTGGAATGTGATTTAGAGACACTTTAAGTGTCTGGATCCAAGAATGCAATGTACAGAAGCCTTGCCTAACCATTTATTAGTCTATCTCAAGGCTAAGCCTTTCCTGGAGTCACAAACAAGATGTTCATATTCCTCTGCACCCTCACAAATAACCTGTAAAATGAGGTTTTCCAGTTCCATGTAATTGTGTGGCTGATGGTTGACGTTACAGAACTGAATAGCCCAAAGCCTGACCACGTGTCTTCAAGTTTACATAGAGGGTCTTTTTCATCAAAGTTTACGCTCTTTGACTTGATTTTCTTTACTGTGCCAGTGCCATAACTAAATGGAAGGGATACCAGTATCTTTCATCAGACATTATTTTAGAAAGGCAAGTTAATGGAATATTAATCTGAAGCAAATGATGTTCGTAAGGTTCCTGTGTTTGAGTCTCATTTCTCATTAAGCTTTTTTCTGCTGTGCTGTTGCAGTGCAGTTGCAGAGCGGAGGTACAAAGGGGTTTTGAGTCCATGGTTGTCACCTCTCTGAGAAGTTTTTAAGACTGATACAGGTATTTAGTTAGATTTTACAAGCTGCAAAGTGACCTTGGAAATTATCTGGAAACATACATTTCTGAGACTTCCAATTTTTAAGTTCACATATTGAACCTGACTCTGAGCAGACCTTACTATTTGCTTCAGATTCTTATGAGTTAATTGTTTTAAATTGCACTAAGGGACTGGAATCAAGAAATAATAGATAGAGAAGCATGTAGGGAGGTGTCAAGGGCCAGCTTTACCCCAGCCTTTGTTGAATGTGTGTGCTTTTATAAAACTCTTCCCAAACATTCCTTTAACATGCAAAATCTTACCAGTAATAACTTTGCCCTAGTTCGAGCACGTGGATCTAAGCTCAGTTGTTTCCTCATGTCAGCACATCTAACCTGCTTTGAATGTGTAATGTTATTGCACTACTGTTACTGATTGCTTCTGAATACATGAGAAACAGTTTCTAGTTATAAATGAGAACTTGCTGCTTCTCTGAAAGAACATTTGGAGACCTCTCCCACACCTGGGTTGCAGGGCCAGCTGAGCTCCTGCACAGCCAGGTAGTGAAGGTCCTGGCCGCACAAACCTGACCAGGTCCTGACACACATTATCCAGGGTATCCAAGCTCTGTTTTCCTCCATTACCCTGAATGACAGGGAGTGGACTGTACAGGGGTTGGACTTTGGCTGTGTCCTGTGTTTCTTCTGACTTTTGTCTCTGTGCAGAGATATGTGCAGTAATATTATAATCAGTTCAACAAACTACTAACTTCTAGTATTCTTCAAGAAGTGTTGGTGTTGTCTTAGCTATTTTAGTAGGGTGATGGCCAAGTCAAGGTCCGTCGCCATTACATAAGTATCTTACGTAAGTGGAAAAAGCTTCATTATTATTTATTACAGAATCACAGAATCTTCTAGGTTGGAAGGGACCTTAAAGATCATCTTGTCCAACCATCAACCTAACTGACAAAAATAGACACCCACACAACAAACAAGGAACATCATCACTAAACCATACCTCCCAGCACTACATCAACCCGTCTTTTGAACACCTCCAGGGATGGTGCCTCAACCACCTCCCTGGGCAGCCCATTCCAATGTTTGATAACCCTTTCAGTGAAAAAATTTTTCCTAATATCCAGCCTGAACCTCCCCTGGTGCAACTTGAGGCCATTTCCTCTTGCCCTGTCGCCTGTGACTTGAGAAAAGAGACCGACCCCCACCTCTCTACACCCTCCTTTCAGGTAGTTTAGAGAGCAATAAGGTCTCCCCTCAGCCTCCTCTTCTCCAGGCTGAAATTATTATTGTTGTTGTTGTTCCTATTTAATGTCAATGTAGCCCTTGAACATGAAAGAATACCTTGCTCATTCATGACACATCTGTTACCTGAAAGTCTCCTGCACTTTAGGGGGAAGGGGAGAAACGCTCTTTGTTTTGATTGGAAAATGCCTGTCCTTTCCAGCTCTGCAGATGTTAACGTTGTTTTCTGTCTCTTGCCTCAGTGTGCCTCCTCCATCAGCTTCAAGTAAGATTTTCAAATTTGTCATAAAAGCCACAGTATTTGGACTGATGGGATACGGCTGCTACCGAATAGGTCAAAGGACGGTTCAGTTTATCCTCTCGATGCCAGCAGCACAGAGCTACCTTCAGAAGCTGACAGAAATCAAGTCTCAGCATTGAACATGGAGTGGAGGCACTATGTGGAGAAGGTGGGACAAAGGATGACAGGGGCAACAGCTGTGAACCGGACTGAAGGAAGAGGGAGATGAGGATTCCAGTCGGAGGTGATGGATGCTGAACAACGTCGAATCGCTGTATAATAAGAGATTTGATACTAAAGTTACACCAGCTATGATCTCATGAATAGGTTTGGTTCCTGGTAAGCGAGTTGCATGAAACCACATGATTCCAGATTGAGGTAAAAGAAGTATGTACGCAAATATATATATTATATATATGCATACTGTATATATAATATATATTACTGATGATGTAGTACGGACAGCTTAAAGAGTGTGTGTTCACGACTTTTCCGGAGGAACAGAACAACACAAAGTAACCGAATTGGCTGCATCTGCTCCGAAGTTCAGGGACACTTGTCTTGAGTGGTTCTTCGCTTTTTTTCCTTAGGTATGATAATACCTAGTGGTCGTTTCTGGTGCCAGACACTTTTACATATAATTTAGAAGGACATCTTCTCAATCTGTGTTTTATACTTCAAACATTTAGGCTTTTTTTAAACTTAAGAGCTTTCCAGAAATTTCAGAATTGTACAGGCTGTCATACGTACACTGCTCCAATTTTTTACGAGCCTTACTGAAGAACAGGAACGTTGCCTTTAGATTGCATCCCTTGTTACCGCCACCAGGTGAATTGTCTTTCTCCTGCATAGAGAAGGTAGGGCCACGCCATCAGAATGCAATGTGGTTTGTGTCAGATGTTTACAGGACACTGTGTTCCTTTAGATTAGCTTATTTAAACTGTCTTATTTAGCCAAATCCTGCTGGATTCAGTATTGTAAATTTATGTGACTAGAACTACTGTACAATTTACTTCTGTTTCTCGGACCTTTCATTATTGGGACAAGAAGTCTGGAATTGGTTGTACCTGCCCCTCACTTTTGATACATGAAAATATTTTATTTATCACTGTAATTTCTCAGTGAATTAATATTTTAATCTATTTAATAGAAAAGCAGTGTTCAATTTAGTTTTTCAAACTAGCTGTAGGGTTTTATTTGGATTATCTGTTATTTATACAAAGAATTATGGGTACTTCAGACTGCTATGATTTTCTTGCTTAATTATCTAGGACAGCCATCCATCATCGATCTATTTATTTATTTTTTTTTAATCCTAGGTTCTATTTCATAGGAATTTTTCTTGGTACCCTTTATACAGGGTTGTCAGTGATTGTAAAGCGCCCCCTGCAATCAGCTCATCCCAGTCCAACAGAACAAATAACTGTAATTGTCATATCAAAGTTTTAACCTGATGTATTTGAATGGAAGAGTCCCGTTCGCTCCTCAGGCTCATCTAAAGTTGCTTATGGCTTAAAGTGAAGTTTTTATCTGTATTAACTTCTTTTGGGAATGAAAGGTAGGAACCAGTGTGTGAGGCAGGAGGAGGAAAAGGTGGTGATGTATTCTGTGTTTATTTGTTGTTTTCAGTTGGTTCAACAAAATCAACAAAACGCTTTTAGTAGGGTGTATTTCCAAGGCCTTGTGTTGGAAATTGTCCTATATGGTCTGTTGTTTGCTGAAAGTATGTAGATGGATCTTTTTAAATGAAATTAAGGGTCTAATGCTCCTCTCTGTGGTGGCACTTGACTTTGCTGGGAGCTGGTCTGTCCGTGCAGCCCGAGGCTTTTTCTGCCTTGCACTTCTAAAATGTTATGAGTCCCAGCACAGCAAATCATTTAAGTGCATGTTTATCTTTAAACCTATTAAATCAAACCGGATCCTGCAGAGCTCTTGAGACGATGCTGGGTGCTTTTCTGGGTCTGGGCCTTAGAGTCGTGCAGGGAATAAACCTTAGCGAATGACGAATGGCAGCAACTCACGCTTCAGACACAAAGTGCAAACAGTAATACAGAATACAGTGGAGGCAGGTCCTTTTATTTTCCATCTGTCAGTGCTTGAGAAACCACCAGCCATCTCTAGCAGCATTTGTAAACAATTTATAGATTAGAGTGACTGCCTGAATTTTGATTCCTGATTTTTTTTAAAAAAGATTTTATGTATTGTTTACATTTAAGCAGTCCTATTTGAATAATTCTATTACATTTTATGTACATTTTTAAAGGATGAAAGCAAAAGCTTAAGCTCATTTTTCTCCTGGCTTTGCTGACATACCAAAATCTTGTTTTGTTAGTTGTCTTTTTGAGAATTTTTAGCTGGTAGAATTCGAGATATTGATGTTTTGCTTTAAGTTATCTACGGATTTTTAAGGTATCTGCAGATATTTTAAAAGTTCTGTAGATCTTTGATATCTGTGCTCAGGTAATTTTACACAAAGGAAAACAAATCTAAGGTAAATTTTAGATATGAGCCTTAAACTAGGGTGGGACTAATGCTAAATGATTGTCATGGAGCATTCTTGCAGACTTAATGTCGTGTGCTTTTTAGCCCAAAGTGATTACTCTGTAAATTGTCCGTTCATTATTCACTTATTCCCTCCAGTTAATACCTTAAGTCTGTTGTTTCACTCGGTTTTCACAAAGCATATCAGCAGATTCTTCAAGGAGCCTGTTTGTGGATGGAGAATTTGCAATTTATCTTCCCACTATTGCAAACTGGCAGATCAGCCCCACGCACTGTCCACGCAGCGGCCCTGGAAAGCCTGATGAATTTGCAGAACTCACAATCCTGTGAATCCATACCCCAATGCTCAGTGTTGCGTATTCCATGTGCTGTGCTATTTATGTAACATAATCAGTGTTTTAGGTCCATTCTTTTCTGTTCTAGTCAGTCCTCTCAGTGTTAACAGCATCCTGTAAAATTTAAACACGTGTTGAATTGTCCCAGCCCCGCCTCAACCTTATGAAGCCATATTGTATTTTTTTGGTGACATGTACATCTGTTTTATGCATTTGTACATGTGGTGTAAATTTGAAGTATTTTTAACAATGTGTGCCTTTACTCTAAAATGATTTAAAGTAAACAGCAGTATGTTCTATGATATAAAAAAAATAAAATATTTTAACCACCATATCTGTTGAAGGCATTTATTTACCGTATTAGTATTTTTGTTGAGAACGAGCACTGGTTAGCTAGATCTAGTATGTGATCATTTCAGCATTTTTCTGAACAAGAATGTCAGTTGGAGTAAGTGCCTCCCAGCACGGGGCAGCTGCATGTGACCCTGAACGAGGGAAACCGGTTTCTCTGCCTCCAGATGTTGAGAGAGGAAAGGATGAGTTTCCCTGCCCTGCTCAAGGAGAGTACCTAAATCCAGAGGCCAGAGTCGGGCCTGCTGAGGGGACTCCTTTGTTGCAGTTGCTTTTCTTTTAATGTCTCTGCAGTGCTCAGTGGTGCGAGGAGCCCGTGGCCTTAGTCCCAGTCCAGTCCAGCAGAGTGCTCACACACTGCCATCGGGCACAGAGGGCTGTGCTTACAGTGCTGCATGGGAATCAAGGGGCCCTGACGTGGAAGAGGTGTTGGATTAGTGGCAAAAAGAGTTTAATCTTTCAAATTGAGACAGGTAAATCAATTGTCTTTGTACCAAAAGTAAGTATATATGATAAGCTGTATTCCATACAGATGATGGAGACTGGTAGGAAGAGACTGTAGGCTTTGTCAGTCGCTACCCCATAATTTTTGACTGTACCTGTGTGAAGCAAAGTCCATTCAGGCAAAGTTCCCCTTCGGTTGCGCTTGGAGCTGCCTCTGCAGCGAAGTGCTGGGTAAGCTGATCAGGTGGGAGGAAAAAAAAATCTAAATACTGTAGTGAAATAGTGAAATCCTGTCCCTGGGACTGGCAGCTGCCCACTTTGGGAGTGTGGTGTTCACCAGCGCTGGGTGGATACTGCTGGCCCGGGGCATGTTTATCATGTGTCTTTACCCAATGCTGAACCAAATTTTAAAAAATTGGATTTTTTTGAGGTGGATTCATATTGGCCGGATTTCCACTGGCAGCTGTTTTTCTGTGCATGTATTGTAGAACATCTACAAGGCAGTGAGAAAAATACATCCTTATCTCACAGTGCCAGGCAGTAGTGGGAACTACGCATGGAAAAGAAACAACATGTTGTCACTTGTGTAACTAAGATACTGGTGTACCTCCTTTCCTGTTCCTTTCTAAAACTGAAATAAACTCTTATTTTAGACTTCGGTGTTTTGAGACGGGTTTTATTGCAGGATTTGGGTTTTTTAAGTATTTGCAGGAGCAGAGTCACTGTTCCGGCTGTGACTGGTGGCCTGACCTCAGTGTGGTGCTCAGCCCCTTCAGGTGGCTGTGGAGACGTGCCTGGAAGACACCAACCACAGGACACAAGCAGCTCCAAAGATGCAAAGCCGAAATGTGTCTGCTGACTGACTGTTCAGGTGAAAAAATACAACTGCTGTATGTATCCCCACAGCAGCAGGTCTTCTGTGTCCGTGTGTGAAGGGGACAGGGAGTAGCTGAAGTGGGTGTCCCGTTCAGCAGCTTCTAATTGGAGAGGCTGGGAGGGGGGAGAGTTGTCTAATTATCCCTTCCCTTGTTGCTTGCCATCTTATCAACCAGGAGCAAATGAAGCTTTCTACACGGCAGGGAAGGTGGGGGTAGCCTTGTCCTTGCTCCCAGTAGGGAAAAGGGTGGCAACTGAGGGCACGGGTGCTCTTTTCCATTGTGAGACCTTGCCCTGGGTGCTGGCACCTGGGGGTGGGGGCTCCTGGGGTAGCTCCGTGTTGGGGGAGGTGAGGAAACACTGGCTTTTGCTGGTTTGATGTTTTGGTTCATTTAGTACTGTACAGGGAGGCTCTTGTGGTGTTAGTCCAAGGGCAGAAAAGATACATGCTACTGCTTTTCCACTTGCCTCATCCAAGGTAGTTGGTGCCCGTGCATCAGGGAAAGGGGCAGGAATCAGACTTTGAAAAAAAAACCAAAAAAACAACAAAAACTCCAAAACAAAACACAAACCTCTGTTACACACTTGTTTCAGCAGGTTGCGTCTCCTCCTGGCTCAGTGACATTCTTTCCGTGGTAAAAATATCCCTGTGTTTGGCCAGAGATGACTCAACTGGGCAAAATAATTAAGAGTAACACTTTGATTAGAGCATAGTGATTATTAACACGTGGTCTCTGCAGCGACTGAACCGCACACCTGCCACCTTCAGGGCCAGCAGGAGTATCTGTGGAGTCCCTGGAGCTGTGTGTGGGCGAGGTGGGCAGGACTGCTCCCTGCTTCACCTTCCAGCAAGCACGGCAGCTTGCCAGGTGTGCACCACCTGCCAGGGAGCATCTTCTCTCTGCCTCCCTGCATCCCCCTCCCTGCCCCCAGCCCTCTGCTGTCTCTCACCTCCTCATCACAGCCCCAGTTCTTTGGAGCCCAGGCCCGGTCTGTGGTTCTGCGTTCCCATTTAGCTGGAAAATACAAGTAACAGTAATAACTTAGTGCCACCTACTGACTGCAGACGGTTTACCTGGTGTGTCTGGTTTTAGGTGGAGGTGTCTACCGGACCCTGAGGCTGTTCTTCAGAGACGGTAAGTGCACATACCTCAGAGAGTTTGGGTTTGACTCACTGATGGTGTACCTGCTGTTAACTGAAACGGCACAACAGGAGCATCCTGGATAACCACAGACTTGTAGCCTTTGCCTATTTCTCTTATTGTGATTCTGTTGGTGCTTGAAAGGCAGATTCTTGGTGAATCAGCAATAATGTATTCATCTTCACTTAAAGTTAAATATCTACCAAAAAGCATGATTATATTGCTTCTAGGGTACTTCATGGAAAACACAGAATTACATTGCTAGAAAACATCCTTCTTACACCTGATTGATTGCTTCATTTGTAATGTTTCAAGGATAGACTTACTTTGCCCATCATGTAAGACCCCACCTCAACAGGACTTTTACTCTCATTCTATAATGTTTAACGTATTTTTGTTTGTTACCTTGAGGGACTGCTACTCTTCTAAGCTGGAGACTGTGGACTTCCCACCCAAAACCACATCTACTGTGGCCACCCCGGCAGGCTCTTGGTGCCACTCTTTAACATGGGGCAGAGTGGAAGAGTTGGGGAACCCACACGGGGCTTGATGGTCTATCACAGCTATCAGCGATTTCTGCCTGGTCACTACATACAAGGATTTCTACCTCTGTGCACAGACAGGTCAGTAACAAGTGTTCTGGCATGTGGTGGTCAGACCTTGTCCCACATGTGCCCTGGGATGCCCAGGCTTCTCAGATAAAGGCTAGTGGTGGGCAGGACTCCCACAGCATGGACCACGGCTCTATGACTATGCCAAGGTGTAGCTCCCCTCTTCAGACCAGTTACCGAGACATAACTGAGGCACACTGTTTATTGACTGGTGAACACACGCTGAGGAAACTAGCAGAATAGAAAGATAATCAATAACCTAAGTAAGTCCCATCCCAGTCATCAAGTTACATATGGTTTGCAAAAATAAGGCACAGCTATGAAGTTATGAGCTCTCAATCTCAGATCTAATGAGTCTCATGCACTGCCAACCCTCAGTGACAGTTCTGTAAGTCCCAAGGTTGCACCTTGATTCATCCTCCCACACCACGATGTACAGCCAGAGAGCTGATGGAGCAAGTCCAGCGGGTTATCCCAGGTGATGCCTTCCAGCCTCCCAGGGCTTGAGTCTGCAGCTCAGTTTTGCTACCGGCCATAGGTGTCCAACTGTCAGCAGGAGCCCTCTGGTCTTCCTTCTTGGATTTCGTACCTCATTCTTCAGCACCAGGGCCCACCTCCTCTCCTCCACCCAAATCCGGCCCAAATAAACAACTTGTCCCCGATTACTTCCTCCCAATTGATCCTGGTTTTGCTACAGCCATACTTAACTGCCATTATTTTCAGTGCTGTTACCCCAGCAGTCGCAGCCTTACAGGGTGTTACTGGCAGGGACACCCAACCACAGGCAGCCTGGCTCCCTTGTAGCTGTCCCCTTGGGTGTAGGTTACCTCCTGTGAGTACTAGACACAGCTATTCCACGTTAGCCTTGATCCCTGTGCAAGCTGGCCAAGCCCTTGCAGGGCCTTATCTGGCAGTTTACATACCAGAGAGCAGCAGCAGAGGCACTTGTTTGTCACCCTTCTGCCAGCACTGCTGGGGCCTCAGCTCTCTGGGGCTGCATGCTCCAGCGGGACCTCTCACTCACAAGCCACCCCCTGGTCTGCCTGACCTCCTCTGAGGACATTCAGACCACTCTGGGTGCTCATGAACTCAATCCCTTCTGGCTGGAAGCCACCACAACTTTTACACCAGCAATGCACATAAGATGTTCAACTGGGCATGTGAGCACACTCTTCCCTTCTGAAACAAGCAAATCATACATAGAGGAATAAAGAACATCATAACTTCTATCATAACTAATAGCAAGTACAGGATTAAGTGCATTAAGTGCTGCAAAGCAGTGGCTTTTGGAAACCAGCCCATGGCAATGTCATACCAACAATGTACAGTTCACAGTCTCAGGCTCTGGTTCTGACAGTTCCTTACTCACCAAGGCCGTCCTCAGGCTTGCAAATTCTTGTCTGCTCTCTGGTTTCTCAGGTCCCTTCTGTATACTGTCACCTCATCCCAAAGAGGCCTCTCAGCTCCCAGACAGATGTCATGAGTTCCTCGGTCTGGAACAAAACCCTGCTTTTGAGAACAAGCAAATGAATGTATACCACCAACAGCAGTAGTGCCACATCTTTGGTCTTCTCCTGGAGCCACAGAGGCCATTGTTATCCTCCCACTCTCCCATTACAGGTGAGGCGACGCACACACAGCCTGCACTGTTACACAACACCACTGGCATTCCCACGCTGACTTCCCCCACTGATGTGTGACAGTATCCTCCTGTGGTTCACAAACAATTGTACAGAACTAGTACATACATTTCATTTAGTTGTCCATTTGCAACAGCGGTTGGTGAAACTTCCCTTGTAATTGGGGTCTCTGTTGTACTACCCATGAGAACAGAGCTAATGCTATTGAAAAAGCTGTTTTAAGAGCTAGCAATTGAGCTTGAATACAATAGGAAGAGCTATTATGGAATTTAATCCCTAGTAATTTGTTGTTTTGTTAACTCAGCAGTTGCTTTTACCATGTGCCTGGTTATCCCAGGTAGTTACCACTGCTGTTGCAAACAACAGTCTGAAGTTTATTACCCATTTACCTTGTATACGATTCAAAAGTGCAGCTGTTTTCACAGAATGAATCACAGAATGGTTGAGGTTGGAAGGGACCTCTTGAGATCATCTGGCCCAACCCCCTGCTCAAGCAGGGTCACCTAGAGCCGGTTGCCCAGGACTGTCTCCAAGGTTGGAGAGTTTGCAATCCTAAGAGAGGTGCAACCCACGTACATACGGGTCACACGCTAGATGTATCTAGAATGGTTTGTGCCTCACATATTAATTCCCCATCTCTTTCCCCCATCTTACAGCATTAATATGGATACTGTTCTACAGGGGTTTTGGATACTTGTGGATGGTGTGATTTTAGTTTTGGACATGCTCAGTGGCCAAAACTAAATCTGCACCATCTGAACCACTCAAAGCACATCACGCAATACAGCTGCATCCCCCATTATTACACTAGTTGCAAAGGTACCATTTGTATCCCATGCAGCTTCTGTGGCTGACACATACTGGGATCCATGCTGACTATCCATTTTATCAGTTCCACCTTTTTGTTCAGTCCATGCTCTTTTACAGGTGAAATTAGTTAATACAAACTGATACAAACCGCCTCCAACCTCTTGAAGGGGCCCACGTAATCAATTTGCCACTGCTCACTCAAGTGGTGCCCGCTCCCAGGGGTCAAAAGCAAAACAAAACATGCATTTACAGTTCACATAGTGGTTTGGGTTAGAAGGGACCTTTAAAGATCATCTAGTCCAACCCCCAGAATTGCAAGGAATCTCCATCATCCACATCCTCCACACCCCTGGACTTTGACAGAAATTGTGTCAATTGGTATTTAAAATCCCAATCTATTCAGCCTTCATTGCCCATTACCTAGGACTGGAAGAGGGAGTCTCTGGCTGGAACCACCTCATCCTCTTCATTTACTGCCCCCATTTCTGTTTTACTCTTAGACTGGCACTTCACTGACTTGCAGACTCCTGCAATCGCTTCACTTTCTGAGGCAGCAGCACAATACAGTTTTCCCTTGAACAGATCTACCTTGAACTGAGACAGGAAATTAATTCCTAAAATGTTTGCGTTCTGCTTTTAGCAGAATTCTCCACCCATCCAGTTTATCTTCCCCTACCCACAACTGGGCTTCTACCTCTATTCCCCACATTTTTTCCTTCCCACTCCCAATATCCAGACGGATTTAGCCAGGAGTAAATGACCTTGATAATCTAATAATGTTGTCTCTGATCCCACAGCACTTAAGAAAGTAACTTCCCACCCCCCCTTCACAGACATCATCCCTCCACACAGCCCCTTCTCCCTGCACACCAGGTCAGTGTGGTGGAGGTTAATCCCACTGACACCCGGCTTTGGGACTACTCATCTTTAAGTTCCGCTAAGGGTGGGTACAGCTTTCTCTTTGGAATAGGGGGAGGAGTTGATTGATTCATCTGTTTCAGTTTGTCCCACATCTCCTCTTGCTTCATACCCTTTTCCTGAATGATTTTCTTCATTTTGGCAAGTAGAACTCCTGTGGGCTGACTATCTAGCTCTCCTTCATTCACGCCCTGGTTTATTAAATATCTCCAAATCGTCCCTCTAGGAATGTATTTCCTCCCCTTTGCCCCCATGCCGAGCTTCTTCGCCGTCCCTTTCCCCTCAGCTTCCATCAGGGTCCCCATGTTCTCCAAGGTAGTCATGCATTCACTGAGGGGGCGGCCGATTAAAGTAGACCCCAGGCTGATGAAAAACCCCTTGTGCATCTCAGGAGCACGGCAGGCCAGCACCCCCACATCCCCCTGCTCCACATTCACCCCAAAGATGTCAAAGTCAGGGGTCACCGGTTTCTCCCTTTGCTTTAACGTCCGGAGTAAGACATTCCCACACAGGTAGGCTGATGCCTCCTGGACATCTCTCCAGGGTGCCCCCTCCATGTTGTCTTTGAGAGGCTCATACTCTCCCAAATTTCTGATCACCAGCCTCAAGATCTCCCCCCCCAAGGTCTCATCAGCAGGCAGGGCCCTGATAATTGCCCCTACTTTGGGCCACGGCAGCCCGATGGCCGTCACCACCTGCTTCGCCGCCTCACGCGTGAAGGGCGTGCACTGCTCCAGGGTCCAAATTCGGTTTACCCACACGGGCCACCCCTCCTTCTGTTTCTTCCAAACCTTCTCTTTCCTGGGTGCATCCCCCGCTCCCTGGCCTCTCTCTCCCTCCGTGGGCTTTACTTTCCTGGCCCCTGCGGCGCCCACCCCTGCCACCAACGGCTCCTCCAAACTCCAGCCCTCCCCGTCCCACGTCTCCGGGTCCCATTCCGCCTTACTGAGCGCCGCCACCTTCCTCTGGTCCAGGCCCTTCCCCAGGGAGAGCAGGGTGCCCAAGCACTGCACCTTCCTCCTCAGGCGGGCGTTCTCGGCCGCCTCGGCCCTCAGCTCTTCCCTCAGCTTGCCCAGCTGCTCGGCCTGCTCGCTCAGCTGCGAGCTGTCGCACCGCAGGGCCAGGACCTCGTTGCGAGCCACCTGCAGACTGTTCTGTAGGTTCTGGATGCACTGCTCCTTCTCCTCCACCGCCGCCTGCAAGGCCCGGGCCAGGTGGAACAAGAGCCACTGCAGGGCCGAGCACTTCTTCTCCCCCTTGGGGTGGTAGGACGAGACGTAGTTCAGCCAGTGCCTCTCCGCCGCCTTCAGGGAGGGCTCCTGCCCGACCACCCGACGGTCCCACGGGTCGCCGCCGTGCTCCAGCATAGCCTGCACCAGCACGCCCCGCTCCTCCTGGCTCGGGGGGCTCTCCACATCCTCCTTCTCCTTCGACTTCCCTCCCCTCGTTAGCCAGGACATCTTGCGGCCAGCCACCTTGGCCGAGCCCGCGCCTGCCGCCCCGCGGGGGCTCTCCCTCCTCGGAGGCGCAGCTGAGGCGACGGGACTAACGGCCGCGCTCGCCCGGTAACGCCCGCTAACGGACCGGGCACCGGCAAAGCGGCCCCGCTGGCGGCTCCGGCCGGCCGCCCGCCGCGACGCCTCCAGCCTCCGGGCGGGCTAGGGCCAGCGCCCCGCGGGGGCGGCTTTTATACCCACCCCGGCTCCCAGTGCCGGGCTCCGGCTGTCCGGCCCGCCCCCCCTCCGCAGCC